ATTTTCTGCTACTAGCGTGGACTCCGAGGCACCCAGCTGTGGCATGCTCTGGCCTTGAAGACATTTCCGCTTTTGTTGCTTGCAAGCTGTCACTCCAAAGCTGCTGATGGGGTGGATTGCGTTCAATCCCTTTTTCCTGTAGTCCACCCCAGCTACTCCTCGACCTTCTGTCGATGCGCCCGGGGAGGAGTGCTCACCTTGGGTGTGCAGAGAGGCTCCCGAGTCTCGCTTGTCCTTCGTGCGTCAGCGCAGCGGCTCGGCGTAGATCCCCGCGGTCTGACGCGGCCGCGTACACGCCCCGGGCGATGGGGGCCTGTCCCTCGGGGCGCCCCCGCCCCCGCCCAGCAAGATGGCGGCCGCGCGCCGCCCACGTGACTGTCGTGCCGGCCCCGCCCCCCTGGGGGCGGGCTGAGGGTGCGGCTCGCTCCGGGGTGTTCTCTCTGCTGGGCTGGGCCGGGCCGGGCCGGAATGCTGAGCCCAGGGAGAACCACGTGGGCGGTGGTGTCCGGGAACTCGGGAAGTTCCTGAGGCAGCCTTTTATTGTCCCGGAAGTAACCTTTTAGGCACACGTTTGTAACTTTTTGCGTAGGAATCATTCTATTTCTTAACTGTCTCAGTATCCTCCATACTAAGTGGATAAAGTATGACTCACCTTTAAGGTTTTGTGTGGGGTTTTTTGTACTTAGAGTAAGAGTGGGCTAGCCCAGAATAGCGTTCCTGGCTCTTTCAAGACTTGTATTCAGTTCCTAGTATGCAGTAGTCTCCCTTTAAAAATAAATCTTTTTAAACATGTTTACAGGTTGAACGGGTGTTTTATTTTATTTTGAATGCTCTATTATATGCTTTCAAGTTGACCAGGCTCAGCAACTGTTTATGACATACCATGGTTAGGATGTTAATGGCTGAGGTGTTAAGTCCACAAACTTAACCACTAGACTAGAGTATACTTACCAGTCATTTTAGAAAAATGGAGGAAGATTACACAAGTATATTTCTAACAGTAACATTGCTAGAGTTTTCCTGTGTGATTTGGGTGATTTTAGAGTAAATATTATATTGGATTGTAATTAAGTGTTGGCATTGCTTTTTGGAGACTTGTGTATAAAGCTCATGTTCTTCATAACTGTAGTGGACTGCCAGTCAATTGCATAAAAATAGGTCACTGGGCAGTGGTGAAAATACTCATTAACTGTGTACTAGGAAATTTGGGTGATTGATCTAGTTACAGATTGCATACATAGCATAACTGAAAAGACTTGGTTTTAAAAATGGGTCCCAAACTATAAATGATAATGTTAGCAGTAGTAAAAAAATAATAATAAAACCTGCATAAATATTTTGAAAGGTTATCGTTTTGTTTTCTTCATTGAAAAGAGAAAAGACAGCCAAGTTTTCTCTCTCTGAATGCCTAAAGACACTCTTAATTGTTCACAAAAATGAATATTATAATTGTGGAGACTTAACTCCTATTTAGCAACACAAAGTTGAATAAAAGGTTAGTGGTTAGTATCATTGGTATGGCTATGTTTCTCTGGAGATTGTGTTTTCAGTGTCCTCAAAACTTAGTTGCTTGGCAAGTAATACTAATGTTTGAATTAAAGGTAGAAACTGATAGATCATCCTGTGTGTTAGTGTTATTTGAATTCACAAAACATATTTGAACTCACAGAAATTAAGTGGCCATGGGACCTTCACTTAAAGAAATCAATTGAGTTACTAAAAAAGAAAACTATGAAATTGTTACTTCCTCAGCATAGATTAAGTTAATTAGCTATTTGTACTTTACAGAGCAAGTACCTCAACTCATTTTCATAATACAGATTATGTATTGGTAATGTTGGGGCCCAAAAAAGAAAAATTTCAAAGACTTTTAACAGAAATGCCCTACACTAAGATAACTTGAGTGTATCTTGGCAACCAGAACCCTGGTGAAACAGATCACTGACTTAAAAAGAGGGGAGAGGTTAGTGGTTAGGTTTTCAGTTGTTACTGTATCAGGCACTGAAAAGATGCTTCCTAAAAATGATTTTTAAAAGGAACAATTCTAAAGCTCACAGGTAATAAATGCCATTAATTTGTTGGCTACCACTGGGATATTTTACAGTGAAGAGTCTCACTGGGGCATTGAGAAGGCTTTCTTCCTACAAAAGAGATAATAGTGCTTACATTAGGATTGTTGGGATTAAATGAACAAGTACCTGTAGAATAATGCCTGGCTCAGGATCTTCAATAAATGTTAGCAATCGTAGGTCAAAGTTAAGCCTTGTTTGTAAGGTGGTAGAAGAGTGGGTACAGCATCTCACAGGTTGAGAGTGGGATCAGAGCTAGATAGCCATGTCTTTTATGAGAAATTTTAGGTTGATTTGGCTGCAGCAAAAAATAAAAGCACTTAAGTTATAACTGCCTTTTGGAAAAGGCTTTTAGAATATCAGAGTTAAGTAGTGATTATATTAGTAATAAATGGGAGCAATTGGGTATCCTCCCCCAGTTACTTATGTTTTCTGTGCAATGGTTTTCTCAGGTAAGGAGACCTAGAGGAAGTCGCATTTATACCTCAGTAGGAGAAGAGGGTTGAGGAGATGGATAGGAAGCAAGTTCTTTTTCTGAAATTAACCAGTGTAATAGAGATATTTTTAAAACTACCTTTGTTATATTTTGTGGAGGGCGGGGACAAGGCCTTGAGTGATAGCCATGTTTAGTAGATCACTAGATTCAGAGGCTTAAATTCTCCCACTAGCTCTTTGATATTAACCAGAGCACTTAGATCCCTGTGAGGTCATCTTAACTGTAAAATGGGGATAAGAACTGCCTTTTGAGGTTGGCATGATTGAATTAATGAGATAAGGTGCAAAATAATTCACATACTATCAGGAGTACAAGTTCTCTGTTGAGAATGATGCTCAATGCATTTTTCTTTTCCACTACATTGTAGACATCCAAATTGTTATATCAGTTGTTTTCAGGAATGATTGTGTGTGTTTTTTCACTCAACAAAAGTCCATATGGTGTAGTATTTTCTATATTGTTCTCTGTTACTATAACTCTAAATTGATTGGTGTTCAGGAAGGATGGGTAATTGAAAAGGTAGTATTTGAGACGCATTTATTTGGGACAGTTATTTTTGATAATACACTGCAAAGATCTGGTATGCTACAGATAAAAGAAGCCCAAAGGAAAAGGAAAAACAAAACCTCCCAGCATTTCTCTGAGTCACAATTCATTAAAATACATATTCTCCCCATAATGGATTTATGAATGGGAATGGAGAAAATACATGGTTTTAATTTGAATTATCATTAACTACTGTGCAACTAATTTACTTAGATTTGTATTCAGTTTTCACATTTAGCTAGAAAATGATTCTATAAATTAAAGCTATTTTGCACTTTTGTTAAGTTACATAATTTTTTGTTAGTTTATAGCACAGACTAGAACCCATGGATAATTAAGGAACATTTTTGTATCTTGTTTTATAAATGCTACTAGAGACCTGGTGCACGACATTTGTGCACTGGGGGGCCCCCCCCCTTACTGCCTGCCTACTCGCAGCTCCTTAGCGCTGTTGCGGAGGCAGGAGAGGCTCCTGCCACCGCCACTGCGCTCACAAGCCATGAGCCCGGCTTCTGGCTAAGTGGTGCTCCCCCTGTGGAAGTGCACTGACCACCAGGGGGCAGCTCCTGCATTGAGCGTCTACGCCCTGGTGGTGAGTGTGCATCATAGCAACCAGTCATTCTGCTGTTCGGTCTATTTGCATATTAGCCTTTTATTATATAGGATGTAGATAGCTGATATTTAAGCTTATTTAATATTTTTGTCCTTTCTAGAGAAATACTGAGTCAGTATTTTTTTTTTCAAAGAGAAGTAAAAGGCCTGCACTCACTTCAAAGCAGATGAGCTTCACTTTTACAGACTATTTTTCATTATGGAGGACTGTGTCTGATAGCACTCCTTTTACTCATAGAGAATGCCTTGTCACAAAAGCCTCTTTCATCCAGTCTACGTAAACAGTCACTCTAGAAGAGAAGTGCCTAATCGGGTGTTTATGTTACAGGTGGCAGAGCTGCTGGGCATGCAGTAGTCCATTTCCTTCTGTTCTTCCTAGGCTGCAGGGAACATTTGGTCTTTAATTCCTTTCTAAATGTCTTAGAGCATTAGAAGGGTTTTATGTTCATTCAAAAAATAATTTATTTGAGGTCAGATTAGATTTTTAAAAAGTCACTTTGGCAAGTTTAGTCTTTCCAAGTTTCAGTATAAAATAGGGATATCATCACCATTTATTGTATATATAACTGCTGTGAAGATGAACATGTATATGAAAATGCTTGTTAAACAAGATATATACTCACACACATATGTATCAATCTATATGTCAATTGTCATAGAGTGACTACAGCACAGTTTGGTTGCTGTGGAAGAACCGAAATATAGAAGTTTGAAGAGAATAGTAGGGGTTGGGTTCAGAGGGCCTTGAAGGTCAGATGAAAGGGATAGGTTTCCAGCAGGTTGCAGTGGGAGTCAGTACAAATTTGTATGTGTGTCTGCCTGCCTGTGGTATGTCTGCCTGAAATGGTCACTGTCACTTAAACTTAATTTGTATGAAAAGAATGCATCATTGATTAAAAAAAAAAACACCTTCCAACGTCATCCAGTTTTCTCAATACTACCATTATACTTCTAGACACTCTCTGATTTGCTTGATAACCTAAATCCTGGCTCCCCTCATATCCTGAATCCACCATTTCCTCATCTTGCCGACACCATTCCCTTTTGGGACTTTATGCCTAGACTTTTATAGTTATCTGACTGGTTCCCATCTGTTATCTATTGCATATTGCTGCCAGGTACATCTTACTAAAGCAATATTACCACATTTTCTTGCAGTGATGTCTGGAGCTAGGCCACCGATAAGTCTTTGAACTCAAAATCTCTTTCTTCCACAATTTCTTCATACATCTCACCTTCCATTCAAGGCTGGCTCATGCCATCACCTTTCTTGCATAATGGTAGAACAGGAGGTTAGTAAAAAAACACAGGTGCTGGTGCTAAAGAGGAGGACCCCAGCTTTGGTCTAGGTAGGAAACCATTACTACTCCTTCTCAGCATTCTAGACCTTTGTAGTTTTGTGGTCCAGTGATGTGTATTTTTCACCATTCCACCTGTCAACTACAGATGGTGCTGTTCAGGTGGAAATAGAAACAGCAAGGCCAGTTCTTAGGTAAAAGCTGCCACCCTTCTCTTTGATTCTCTACTCCCCTCTTCCTTCTAGGCTTCCTTATCAGCATTCTTTGGCCAGATCTTCTCTAATTGTGCATCCTACAAGCTCTCTCTAGAAAAGGCAATGACATCGACTAATGTTAATATTTTTATTTGTAATGAATTCAGAATTCCCAAAATACATAGAAAGTTATAGTGATGAGTTTCCCTCCTCCATATTGTTCCACCCATCTGGTTCCAGTCCACCCCACGCACATATACACAGATAACCATTGTTCACAAATGTCATGTTAACAGCTTGCATAGCTGCTATTGCAGTTGGCTGTGATAGAGGAGAGTATACACAGATTCAGTAAATCATCTGGCCCTTCACCCCACATTCATTTAGCCAGGCCTTTAAGAGAATTCTGCCACATTGGCCTTGTTGAATCACCTTATCCCCGCATTTCTGGTTAAACTAAATAAGTTACGTAGGAAAAGCTTCCACAATCATAGAATCCATATCATGCTCTTTCTGAGCTATTGATTCTTTGGTACCCCTTCCCTCAACCTTTGTTAGTTTAGTTGTTTGAGCATAACTTTAATATATTTACCAGCCATGTTTCTCCTCACACCAGAACTTGCCTTTCATCAGATGCTATAGGTGATTTAAGGCATTACTTTGGGTTGGGTTGAGTTGTACTATTTCATTGAGTGGAGATGAGAAAAACATCTGCCTTCTCTACCACATCCTCTCAATTGAAGAGTCAGGCAGTAAGTAATTCTTAAATTTTCCCTAGAGAATTCCCTCTTCTTCCACCAAAGATGGATAAAATTTGACATTTCAGTAATGTTTCTGATAAGTCATTTTCTAACATTCAACACAAGACATTCTACGAATCTTGCTTAAATAATAACATGCTTTGGTTGTAGCCCTTTAAATAAGAGAATTTGAAAGCTATAACTGTATAAGCAGTTACCACAAAATTTAGTGCCTTACTCCAACAACCTTTTTATTATTTCTTGAAGCTCTTTGGGCCAGGAATTTGGACAGGTAACTAAAGGTGAGGTCTGTTTGTCTCTGCTCCAGAATGTTTGGAGACACAACACATCTGGGGACTGGAGGTACTTTCTCCCTCCCTACTCTCTGTGTGTTCCATCTATAGTTAGACCTTTGTTAGAGTAAAATGTGGCCAATGCAACTGACTTTTGTTCTCAGGGTATGTTTTCAAAGAGTCTTTTTAGGCTGTCCAGCCATTTGACTATTCCACAAACTTTCCCACATTTAAGAAATCTCAAGTGTGTAATTGTGATGGATCTTCATGTGTAAAATATAATCTTAGTAATCTCTGGAATGAACAAGATGTCTAGCTCACTTGTGTTACTTGACATGTGGATTTGAGTTAGCCAGGAGCTCTCAGAGTTTATTAAACTGGGAGGCTTTTTCTTGGTTGCTAAATTGTGTTCTTAAAGTAACTTCAGACTTTAAATATGTGATTGTGATTGTGAAGCAAACCACTTTCTCATGGTTCCTTATACAATATATTACAATATAATATTTGTGGAGGCAACATTGTGGTAAAATATATATAACAAAAGTTTCCATTTTGACCCTTTTAATTGTATAATTTAGTGGCATTAAGTACATTCACATTCATATTGTTGTGCAACCATCACCACTGTTATCTCCAGAACTTTGCTTTTATCCTAACAGAACCTGTATGTACTCCCCATTTCCCTTTCTCTAGCCCTATTCTACTTTCTCTATGAACTAGGTGCCTTATATAAGTGGAATCATACAATATTTATTCTCTTGTGTTTGGCTTGTTTCACTTAGCATAAGGTCCTCAAAGTTGATCCCTGTTGTCGCATCTGTCAGAATTTTATTCCTTTTTAAGGCTAATATTTCATTTATACACACACACACACACACACACACACACACACACACACACCATTTTATCTCTTCATCCCTCATTGGATGTTTGAATTATTTCCACCTTTTGGCTATTGTGAATAATGCTGCTATGAACATTGGAGTACCAGTTATCTGTTCTAGTCTCAGTTCTTCTGGGTATACATCTTGAAGTGGAATTGCTGGATCATATGGTAATTCGATGTTTAATTTTTTTTTTTGAGGAAGTGTTGGACTGTCTTTCATAATGGCCACACTATTTTACATTCCTTACCAGCATTGCACAAGGTTCCAATTTTTCCAAATTCTTGCCAATACTTGTTTTCTGGTTTTTGGATAATAGCCATCCTAATGGGCGTGAAGTGCATCTCATGGTGGTTTTGATTTTTTTCATTTTCCTATTGAAAACTATTGGGTTTTATATATTTTGATTTACATTGGAAGGTGTGTGTAATTTTTAATTTATGAACCACACATAAGCATGGTAGAAAAATGTTCTATAGGAAATGGTTTACTTCATCAACTAAACTTCTAGCTAACACAAGTATTTGAGAGGATTACAGTGCTTTATTTGTATTAATTTTTAAAGTACAGTAGTGTTAGGCCAATGTGGTTTGGGTTGGATATACATTGATTGTGTATACATTACATTAGAAGAATTCCTGTATCCAACTTTTTAACATCAGTAATGATGGAAAGTGATGAATGCCATCGTGCTAAATGTTTTAGAGGTTGGATGTTGACTTAAGAGGTCTGTGTTCTTCTCATTAAGTGCTTCTTTGTAGACAGTCGTTATTCCTTGGGCTTCTAGAAGAAGACAACTACTGTATAAGGCTGAAGCTTAGCTCCCCAGAATATCGAATGTGATACTTTATTCCCAGAGAGAGAGCTGTCAACTGGCAGGCCAGGATGCATAATGAGACAGCAGAACCAAATATTTTACAATAGGATTTTTAGGAAGTTTCAGCTATTCTGTTTGCTTCATTTCTTTATACAGTTTTAAAACATGAATGTATATTATTTATTGCAAATTTATAAAATTGTAGTTGGTTCTTGAATCAGAGGTGATTTTGGTTTGAGTAGAGTTTTAAGATTCTGAACATAAAAAAAGGATTCTGAACATGAAGAGGGGGTGTGGTATGAATTTTGATAAAGAACCACTTTCTTATTCGGCTTAACCAGTGTGTTATAGTAACAGTCTACACATGACAATGCTGGAAAGCTGTGTATACACCAGCCTGCTCTGTATTCCTTTAAGCAGCAGTTCTCCTAGGAGTAAAACTCACCCCAGTTCACTGATGATTGGCTGAGCAATTAGATTTAGAACACCTAGTTACTGTGAGGTGGTTTAACGTTAGTAATAAACTCACCGTCCATACACATTCTTGTTTAGAAAGATTTGGTTTTTTTAATGATACCTTTTGTAAAACATTTTCCCAACAAAGCATCTTGTTAGATAGTCACTAAACCCAAGTAATGAATAAAAATTGCACAATAATTAATGTAAAAAATACCAATGTCCTTACGTAGTGGGGAATTAGCATAAAGGGTACCATCTTTTATTTATGTTGCTTCAATTCTGGTTCACTTTGGTATAGAATTGACATCTTTGGCAATTCTGAATAGTAATATGCAAGAAAAGTGGAACAGTGAGTAGTTGATAGAATATTGCTGTTAAATGAAGATAAATATTGATAATTCTTTTCCTTACTCCTGTGACTTTTTGCACCTTTCTGCCTTTACTTTGTAATCACCTATTTGGTCTCTAAAAATTGCTATTACAAGGGTTGCTGCTAAAAGTACAAGACTTTAATCTGGTTTATTTTATAGGATTTACTCTTCTTAGTCAATTAACTTGTGGCCCTTTTCTGATCTAGAATGACTCTGCTCACGGTGATTATGTGCAAACTAAGGAGGCCAGTTTAATAGAACACGCCCCAATACCTCATGACGGACTTACTGTGGCACCTCATAGAACCCAGCGAGAAGGTATGCTGTATTTTTTGCTAACTTAAAGCATCTATAAGTGGAAAGATTACAGAGTGCTATTTACATTGGTCCACTCTTACTCTCTGTCTCCTTTTTGGAGTAGAGAAAGCCTGCTGGTCCTTGGTTTAGTTCAAAAGCCAGTCCTCCTACTTGTTTGAGCCTGCATCTGGGCTATAGCTCCATAGCACTCGGCCCGCTTTGTAGTCAGTTGTCTTCAATCTGGTTGAATGTCTTTGGAGGGCAAAAACCTTAACATATTCCCAAAGTTTTTATTATAGGGCTATATCTGTAGGATGTGCTCAGTGTCTACTAAAAAAAAGTAAGTTTATAGAAGATCACTGTAAGGGAGAGAAGAAATTTCTTACAAGTCCATTCTTCCTGCAGTAATGCAGTTTTCAAGAGAGCTGGAGATGGGGGAATGAAAAGACTTTGCCATGTCCAAAGAAGTGAGTTTAGACATGCTCTTAACATTTGCGGAGTCAATTACATGTGTTGAGGGAAACAGTGAAATAGAAAATCTAGACAGCTTCCCGGCAGCCTTGGAAGAGTGAAGGATGGGTGAGAATTCATGCTAGTTATCATAGCTTTGAATTGACATTATTTTATCTTTTTTTAGTCCAAATAATAATCCTTTCGGTGTAATACATTTTTCCTTACAGAGGGAAAATAGGTAGAAATGTTTAATGTATAAAAAGTTTACATTTCTAATCAAGAATATCGAATTGCTTGAGTCATAGACTCTTCCACCAAGCATGGGAATCAACTAAAAGGAATTTGGTTTTACAGTGAAGGTCCTTTAAAAAAAAAAGAAAATTGAAAAGATTACATCAAAATGCTAACAGTTAAGGTGGTACTAGAGATAATTCTTTGTATTCTTAATTTTTATTAATCCTCACCTGAGGATATTTTTTCCATTGATTTTCAAAGAGAGAGGAGTGGGAGGAATGGAGAGGGGGGAGAGTGGAGCCGGGGGGGTGGGGGCGGAGAGAAACATCTATGTGAGACAGACACATCAATTGGTTCCGTCCTGCATACTCCCAAACTAGAGCTGGGGATCTGACCTGCAACCCAGGTATGTGCCCTTGACCGGGAATCGAACCCAAGACCTTTAAGTGTGTGGACCAACACTCTATCTACTGAGCCACACCTGCCAGGGCTGTATAGTTAATTTTTAAACAAATGTTTATAATCCATGCTTTTTAGTTTTGTTTTTTTTTTAAAATATATTTTATTTATTTTTTACAGAGAGAAAGGGAGAGAGATAGAGAGTTAGAAACATCGATGAGAGAGAAACATCGATCAGCTGCCTCCGGCACATCTCCCACTGGGGACGTGCCCACAACCCAGGCACATGCCCTTGACCGGAATCGAACCCGGGACCCTTCAGTCCGCAGGCCGACGCTCTATCCACTGAGCCAAACCGGCTTCGGCCATGCTTTTTAGTTTTAATGTATGAAGCTTGGAGGAGGATCTCACATTATTGGCCATTCCTCACCACATATTCTTTTGCTCTCTCATCCTGATTCTGATAGATCACGGCAGGTTTAACTTGAAATCAAGGCTGAAGACATAGCTGTGTTCCATAATGCCCTAGCTGTCCCCTATCCATAGCCCACCGGTTTGCAGAAGTAGAGCTGCTTTGTATATCTGAACGCAGATTAGTTCAGATGGCTTTTATTTAGTAGCATCATTCTTTACATAATTTAATAGAAATCAGCAGACCTTCCGTTTCCACTTTGGCCTGTATGATGCTGCAGGAGTTCTGAGAAGTTACAGACTTCTCACCTGGCTTTTGAGATTTTCTTTTGTCTCCATCCTCAACATTTTTCACCCACTAAGGGGAAATTGGCCCAGAAGCAGGCCACCAAACACTATATATTTGGAAACTTGTCACAAAATTCTGGCAATGAGATCTCCTTAGTTTATTATGAATGTCTGCTTACCAGCAAATTTCTGTGTCTGTTTTCCGCTTTCTCATTGCCCACCTTCCGTGATCTATAACAACCTTAATTCTTCGTATACACTTTTGTTACTTTGTATATTCTGCTTCATCTGATTTAACTTCTTCCTCTAAGCCTTAGTGAATCTTTCCCTTCTCTTCTCCATCTCCTGTCCCGTGGATCCAGCAGTGACCACACTAGTCTGTTGAGTCACTTTCCTAATTTCTTCGCTAAAACCTTTATCATCTTCATTACTACCAGCCTCGTTGTTTAAGTACGTTTTCTTTTGGGTGAATCTAAAGTGCTGTTTTTGTAGTAATCAGAATAACAAACAGTTTTGATGATTATCACCTTGAAAAATAATCTCCACTGCTGGCACCTTTTATTTTTTATCTTTTTTATCTTTGGTGCTTAGCAGAGTGCTTAAAGCTGCTTAGACATTCAGTGTGCTGAATGGATATAGGAAAAAATTACTTCATGGGTGGATGGCACATTGCTATGTTTCTGGATTTTTTTTTTGGTTTTTGCTTAATCATGATTTAAGAGCAGTAATTAAGATGAAGATAAATAGCTTAATTGTGTAGCATTTATCACATTTGGTAATTGAAATGTGTGTCCAGTCTCTGTAGAACAAGTCAGCATGTTTTCTTTCTTTCAGCTGTACACATTGAGAAGATAATCTTGAAAGGAGTCCAGAGAAAAAGGGCTGACAAATATTGGGAGTACACCTTTGAAGTAAGCTACTCTCACCCACAAAAAAAATGCCTCATTTTATGTTAAATAATCTTTTGGAAAGAATGAACATTGATCTTTGGAAAAACTTCTGGCAGGTTTGCTAACTTAGAAAAGTTAAACAAATGTATACCTTTGTCTAAATTAAGGGGATGTACTGCTTTCAGTGTGTTCTGCATGGTTTGCCAAGTTTTTAAAAATTGTACCACCACATGAAAATTGCTCTGACAATAATTATCAGAGTTTAGATGAAAGGTATAAGATACATCTTTTAAAAGTAAAAGTAAGCACTTTCACCAGTATTTTCAAAATCAGAATCATAAGCCTTGTCTTTTCCTGGCATTGTTTTCCTTGATATTTTTCTCTCTTTTTCTTTCTCCAGGATGGTTTTATTCTCTGGCCTTTGTGGCCTTGTCTTCTTGTCGCTCCACTTGCTCTCCTGTCCTTCTGTACTTCAAACGGCTCTAATGAATCTTAGAGCCCAGCTCTGTTAGGCCCAGGTCTCCTTTGCCTGTTCACTGTCACGTGGGTTCCTTGTCACATCTCCTTATTCCTCCCTGCTTGGGCTTCCCTGTCTAGCCCTCTTTCCTAAGGCTGTACACGCCTTGAACCAAATGGAAAGACGCCACATTTCTGTGCTTCCTACATCAGTTCCTCCCCTAAGGTATTGCTTGCTAAACGTTAGCTGTACCTTTCTCATGAAGCCACTTCTGATCCTCCAACAGAATGTTTTTTCATTCATCCAAGGTACATTGCCATCACAGGTCTTACATTTGGGTTTGTGTTTTTTCTTTCTATTTGGTTATTATCTCATAGAGAGTAGGATTCTTCATCTGCTGCCATCCCACCATATCTAACTTGCTTAGTACATTTGTTCAAAGAATTTCGGAGTCCTGGCTTCTGCTTTGTGGGAGAATTATCCTCAATTTGAAAATTTCAAGTCCTTATCTCCACTTTTCACTTGACAGTTTTGTAATACTTGGCATAAGCTGATCTTTGTTTCTTTGTTCCATTTCACCAGCTTTCCTCTGTTGCTGGAGCTCTAAGATTGCTCCTTCTTTAAGGTCTGGGTCCCCTTGCTCTGGAATGATGTTCCCTCAGACCGTGGTGGCACAGCTGATGTCCCTTCAACACACAGACTGGCTCAGACGCCCCCTCCTCTGAGGTCTTTCTTGGCGCCATATGATGGGCTTCTCCCTGCTCCTGCATCACACCATACTAATTTTCTTTGGAGCAATGACCACTGATGGGAATCCTTATATAGCCATTTGTTTCATCTGTCTCCTACACTAGACTCGGACCTCAGCCAGCAGCGACTTCGGCTCTCTTGTCCATTCCTGTATCCCTTGCACTGAAACAGTGACTGACACAGTAGATGCTCAACAGACATTTGAATAACTAAAAATCAGCTAAAAGATCTGTCAGTTAATAAGGATATTTGCTTTGGGGGTTGCTAGATAAAACTTTGTATGTGTAGTAGGTCTTTGAATAACCACATTATTTCATTATTATTGATAAGAAGCTCTGGGAACTTAACTCTTCTCTATATCAGCCTATGGTAAAATTGGTCTTACCATACATTGTTTTATTTAAGTCACAGAACCTATTGTTGACGTTAAGTGAGGACATACTATATTTTTAAGTGTCTGATTAATTATGATACAACTAGAGGCCCGGTGCACAAATTCGTGCACCAGTGGGGTCCCTCGGCCTGGTCTGTGGGATTGGGCTGACACTAGCTCTCCGACATCTCCTGAGGAGTCCTGGATTGCGAGAAGGTGCAGGCCAGGCTGAAGGACACCACCGGTGCATGATCAGGGACGGGGAGGTTATGTGGGAGGTTGGCCAGCTGGGGAGGGGCCGCAGGAGGGCTCCAGGGCCTGTCCAGCCCATCTCGCTTAGTCCTGATCGGCGGGACATCAGCAGCAAGCTAACCTACCGGTCAGAGCATCTGCCCCCTGGTGATCAATGCACATCATAGTGACTGGTCGACCGGTCAACTATCTGCCCCCTGATGGTCAGTGCACGTCGAGCAGCCTTAGCATATCTTTAGCATATTACACTTTGGTTGAACAGACGGACACTTAGCATATTAGGCTATTATATAGGATTAGTTGAGAAGCCTTAGATATTAGCATCTTTCAAGTATTAACTCAAATAATTATAAAGTAGAAATTGTTAGTGGGCCACCATTAGATCCACTGAATTAAAGGTATTCAAGAGGTATGGCAGCGTAATAGATTTCACTTCTGACTCTTTGGTTACTTAGGGTCAAATCTAAGTAAATCAGCCTTTTGGAGTTTTAGTTTCTCCATCTTTAAATTGGTCATACTTGTCCCATCCACCTTAATAGGATTTTACAGAATTGAGATAAGGTTGAAATCTCTTCATGGTATTATCAAAGAGGGCTAGTGAGCCTGTTTTTTTTCTCATAAGAATGTATATTTCATAAGTTCCAGGAGGTAAAATTTTTCTCTTTCTTGGGGCATAGAGCTGTACTCTCAAAGCATTATATTAGAGTTCTGCATCTTCACTAAAGGAATGTAAGACGGTCCACTTTCTGAAAAGTTACCAAAATATGGTCACATATTTTAAAGACAGCTTTTTTAAAAAAAATCATGTGATTTGAAATGAGTTTCTAAAATTTTTTTGAGTAGAACATGTCAGTGTGCTGTTAATTTTAATAATTTTGAAGAAATGACGACAATGCCAGATTAACTTTATATTTCTAATTGTCAATCTTAATAAAATGTAAGTAAGGCTCTTTGCTTTACACATGGCTTTTTTTCTAGTTGCTCTCTGCCTAAGAAATAACCATATAATATGTTTGTGTTTTGTTTTGTTTTTAATCAGGTAAATTGGTCTGATCTTTCAGTCACAACAGTAACAAAAACCCACCAAGAACTACAGGATTTTCTACTGAAGGTAAAAGTATAGATTTTGCTGTTAAAATGATTTTTACATAATATACAAAATCCAAAAACCCTTATATCAAAATTAATTTCTGGAAAATTAAAATACATATATACAGGTTGGAGAGCTCTCTATGAACGTAGCTGTAGAAAACGTCATGTTATTCTAAACATAAGTTTTCTTACTTTATATTACTAATATAAGGAAATGAAGGATTTTCAACATTTTTTAAAAATGGAACCTTATTCCTACTTCCTTGCCAAGATGTGTAATGTTGGTGGCTGGAGTATATCCTATGAAAGAGAGTGTCTGCAAAATAAGATGAGGTTTGTTTGCATTTGGTAGTGGATCTCAGACCTAACAGCTCTTCAGCTCCCTCTGTGGACTCCTTAAATATATCTCCATTTGTTCCTTCTTTGAGTTCCAAGCCCCCCTCCACTCCCACAATGATAGATCTCCAAAGCACTGAGAATAAGGTATATTGGGAACATCTTATAGACTTGCTGAGGTGAAAGGGATCTTAGATCATTTTGTTCAAACTCTCGTCTATTTCTTTTATACTAATTTTATTTTATTGAAAAGCGTGTGGGTAGAGATAAATACTAAAATAAGGGAGCCGTTTAAATGGATAACCAATAAATTACTGTTTCTCAATAAGCAAATGTTTTAAAATTTATAGTTAATCTATAATAATAAAAGAGTAATATGCTCATTAGACCGGACATCCTTTTGGATGACCTTCTGGACGAAGCTGGGGCTGCGAGGGAAGCCGGTGCCGGCAGCTGGGGGAAGGAAGGCCTACTCTTGCACCAATTTTGTGCATCAGGCCTTTAGTACAGAGATAAAACAGAAAGCCCGGAAGCAGAAAACATTGCCAATTGAATTACTAACTTTTAGGTAAAGGGGTGACATAGTTGTTGAACCAGTAGCATATGAAATTTTCAGGACAGTGCTTGTCACCATGAATCTGTTCTTTCAGATCACATGAGTCTCTATTTACTCGTAAAGCTAGGAGGCTTTTTGCCTCCATCTTACACAGCTGTGGGCAGCATGGGAGGCACTGGTTCTGAGGAGCACACAGTTCCCTGTGTCGGCAATGTCAGTCCTGCTGGGTGAGAACTCCTGGGAATGACTTGAAAATTTCCATTTTTTTATGGCTTATTTTATTTTATTATTATTCTTTTACCTTTTTCTTTTCTTTTTATTAAATCTTTATTGTTTAAAGTAATACATATGTCACCTTTTTCCCCCCATTGACCCCTTCTAGCCTGCCCTCACCACCCACCCCAGGCCTTCACAACCCTATTGTCAGTGTCTATGG